TGATGACTATAAAAATACATGACTCGGAGGTACGTTGTTGGAATGAAGAGGTATGTGAGTTGCGTGGCCGGTTTTCAGACCTCTCTTGAGACCATATGCGAAAAAAGAGATTATGTAATGCAAAGGAAATAACGTGAATCTATATTAAGACGTGTACATTGATTCTACAGTCAGTAACAGAAGATTAAATATACTTATCTATTTGTCAAATTTCAAATATTTGACACATGAAAGAAAGAATATTATTAGATACTTTGAAAGAAGATTATTAGATACTCTAATATTATTAGATATTATTGATAATTCTATTTGTTCTTTAATATTGCCCTTTGAAAGTGAATTATTATTCGACGTGTGTGATATGCGAACTGTTGCGTGCAAGGAACAGTTTTTAATTTTGTTCGTTTTGTATATTTGACAATACATATCAATAAATGCTTTTTTCTTCAATTTTTGTTCTTAATGTAACATTATATATTATAATTATATTAATTTAACCTTTGACATTTTCTTTAATTAAAAAACAACAGTTTTTCATCCATTTTATCGTATAAAAAATTTTTATCATAATTCAAAGATCGCGAAGAAATAAATTTTTATCGACTATTACCTGATAAAGTAATTTAATATAAAATACATAATAGTTTAAAAATATATGATAAATATATTTTTTTGTTGAAGAAAGTAATATACAGAACATATGTTTAGTCCCAATGGACTTAATTAACTTACAAAGTTAAATAACATCCACTTGACAATAATTAAATACATTTAATCCAACTCTGTTAATTGATTAATAAAATTGTTTTACTCAAATTTACATAATACATTAAATATACAAAATACAAGCCTCTCACAAATATCAAGAACACGTTGTACACGTTTAGAAATAAACTCAGAATACAAAGAAAAGGACCAACAATGCAACACATAAAAACACGAACAAAGAGAAAACAATATAAACGACCAACAAAATGCACAAGGACGTAATCATAAATCATAAGACAACGTCGCAAGTAATCGTAAAGTTCAAACACCAGAAAACGACGGAGCACAACATACCATATACCAGAAGTAATAAATTCTCCTTCGAGAAAAATGAAAATCGCCTGTTCATTTTCACGATTTCCATTCTCACGTTCCCCGAAAATTTCGCCTCGCGCGTGTTCGATTGTTTCTCAACACGACGCTCGATCCTTTCGAACGTTGCGTCGTCGGCCTGGCTCACCAGAAATTCCATCAAGGACCTCACGTTCCTCAAGATCACGCTACTGGACGATCTTTTCGGAATTTCCAAGTCGATTGATTTGAAACTAATCTGACTGGAGGAAGCATTCGTTGACACAGTATTCACGAAATCAAGATTCTTTTCAAGATTGTCTTCAGATTCGCTGCGAGAGTCCGAGAGCATTTCGCCTAAAAATTCTTTCGACGCGACTTCCGCTCGCCTGAGGTTCTTAAACACTTCGACGACCGTTTTTTTACTATCGTTCCCTCTTTGAACAACTTGCTTTTTAAAATTCAGGACAACGTCGCTTTTCGACACAGTTTTCGCACGTTCTTCTTCGCGAGTTCCGAGGACTTTGTCGAGCTTCTTCCTCTGTCTCGACTGTTTCCTCAGTTTCTTCAGATCGCTTCTTAATATTCGTTTGTGAATGTCAAAGGCTCTGTACACGTTTCGAGCTCTGATAGCAGCTACTTGAAGAGCAGCTACGATCCCGCTGGAAACTATCCTAACAGGAGAACGATCCTCGTCTTTGGGTTCCTCTTTGGTTCCATTTTCATTAAAATGAAGGTTATGATCCTTCGACGATTTGGAGGATAAACTATGCGTCGTGGACGAATCGACGGATGTCAGCAATGCGTTCGATTTCTCGTGTTCTTCCTGCATTTGATGGAATAATTTTTGATACACTAGGGAACACTGTCTCGATGAAGTTTTGTCAATTTTCTTCGAACATCTCAGAACTTCTTCGTGAAAATCCTTTCGAGATTCTGAACCTTTTGGATATTCTTTCCGAATTTTCAACTTTGAATCTTCGTTTTCAAACTCGTTCTCGCTAATTTTCTCCCTCCGTTCAACGTCTGTAGAAATATTTCTGCGAGGATCGCCTCGAGATCTCGAGTTTCCCGAGTCTTGCCGAGTCTTCCTAAATTTCGACTCTTCATTTTGAAACTCGTCGAGTCGTTCAGTGATCACAGACTTGCAACTGCAACAGATCTTTGGCGTTTCTACGGAATCATCTCTAACACGAAGCGACTCTGTCATCGTACACGCGTTCCTTCGTTCCACTTCCGTTTGTGTCTCCTCTGTAGTTAAACTGTCGTTCTTAAAAATAGTCTGCAAACCCTTGGATGTCCTACAATGGAAAACAGTCTGAGTGCAAGCGTTGTTGCTGTCCTTAATTGTGCATGTTGTCACATCTCTCATTCTTGGCGAAGAAATCTCTCTTTCAGAAAGAACTTTAAATCTTTCGACATCAGTTTTCATATCGTTTCCAGCATCTTTCTCAATATTTTTCTCGACATTTTTTTCAGTATCTTTCTCAATATTTCCCTCGATATATTTCTTAATACATTTTCTATCATCTTTCTTTATCTCGACATTTTTTTCAATATTTCCCTCGATATCTTTCTTAATACATTTTCTATCATCTTTCTTTATCTCGTTTTCCAATTCCTCCTCCCAAGAATGCTCCTTTCTCAGGACCATTCTTTTTCCGAAATGTCGATCGTGTTCTACGTAAGAAGACACGTCGGCAAAGCTGATCGACTTCTTTCTCAAGCCTTTGCGTGCTTTTTGCTTGCCTTTCAGATATCTTTCGGCTTTATTCACCAGATCAACGTCGACACCTTGATCGTAAAGAAATTCCTTCAACATACTCAACGATATTGCGTGAGAATTCACTCTTGCCTTCTCTATCTTAACAATCGACAGATTGTTGGAAGTCTTCGGCTCCGTGTCATGGTATTTTTGTTGTTTCTCGTTGTCATCGGTGAAAGAAGAATTCTCCTTCGAAATGTCATTTTCATTGAATTTCTTGTCTTTACATTTTTGGTTTGAGACAGCGTCGGATTTCCAAGCTTCTATTTCATCAGTTTCAACTGAAGTTGTATTGAAATCCAAAATTCTGCAACTCGCAGCAGTTTCTAAAGAGATATTTCGTTCAACTTCTGACGGTATGTGTCCGAAATTTCCACTTGTCCCAACGTTTTTGGTATCTTTCCCAACGCCAGCTCTTAGAACTGGAGTCAAACTTTTTGGCACGATTGATACCAAAGAGTATTCTCCTGTCTTCAGAATATTTTCCGACAGATCCCCCTGAGATCTTTTGTTCAACTGGCTCTTTTTGTATCGCTCGGAATCGATGTCCCTCGTTGGTTCCTCCTCGTTCACTTTCATCTCTTCTTCAACTACAATTGACTCGCTCGTTTTTCTTAAATCAGCAGAACACGTTTCGTTTGGAAGTTGATTCCGAAACGTACGGTGCGTCACGTTCCCAACATTTTCCCCCTCGTTGTTTTCTGAAGTGGTTCTTATGATCTCCTCAAGTGCTCGGAGAACTTTCGACTCTGTCGTGACTCGCTCGTGAATCATGTCACACACGGACCTGCGAGCGTAGTTCTTCACACACGTGAAAGGCTTTTCCGATTCGTTAAAATTCTTTGACACGGGCCGTGATATCCTCGATCTCGGTTTCGATCTCGGGCTGATGTTCAAGCTCGCGTCACTTCGTTTGCTCGCGATCTTCGAATTGTCGACGTTCAATTTGGGGACATCTTTGCACGAATATATCTCGGTGGAAGGTTTCTTTTTAAATTCGCTCACCGTTCGTCCATGTTTCTCCTCTCTAAATAAATAACTTTTGTCAACGTTCGTGCATTGGCACAACACGATATTATAGAAGGATGAGAAGTTAATCAATTAAGTTATTTCTCATTTAAAATGTCTTCTCGTCGTTGCGTACGTAAAATCAGAAATTTAAACCGGTAAAAGCTATTTTCTGAATTCGATAAAAATCAGATCGAAATATAAAGAATTCCGGGATTAAATTACAAACTATATCTTTCATCCATCGGGGGGATCTATGCATGCAGTGTTGATTTCTGTGCAACGAAGAATTTATTTCAACGATACTAAAGTTTAGAAATTAACGTGTGACCATTTAAAGCTATAAAAATCATTGTTAAATCTATCTAATTACTGTTACTGATAGAATTTAATCAAACATATCACGAAGATATTAGGCGTCATACCTGAAGAGTTAACATTTCCTATTATTTATAGATCATTTGAAACTCGCGTTTAGAAAAAATATTCTTCCCAAATAATCTAAGAAATCCCCTCTCTGATTTTCTGTTGCATTGCAATAAATATTTCACCTTGCGTTCTCCAAATTTGTTTTTTCTCTGTTATGCGTCGCTGGACGAGTTTTCTGGACCAAGGTCGTCACGTTATTAAAAGTAGGGATTTTCGCTGCGCCACCTGGCCGCCATACTGGTTGATTGCTAGGAGCGCGGTGTTTCTGGCGAGACACTGCTTGCCTCGATTGATTGTTAGAACTCGTATACAACATTATTTTCTTCGCTGGCTTCACTCTTTCTGAATGATGACAATTGTCGGCTGTTTTTTTATCTGCAACGACATCTAAATGCTTCTCTTTTTCCGCGTACCTCGCAGAGTTTAAGACTTTTGTGGATTTGGATGGTTTCAGGGAATTTGTGTTCAGGGCATTCGAATCCACCGACATTTGAGTCTCGACGGTGCTTTCCTTCTTCACAAGCTCTGACTTTGTAGTTTTCGATCGAACAGTTCCAGTTTTCTGTCTGAAATACACGTTCAATCATAATTTAATAATTAAAATTTATTAATTTAATCCATTGTTTTTTTTTCTCGCGCGAATATTTATTAATTTAATCCAGTGTTATTCCATGCGAAATCATAAGTGAAATTTATAATAATAAATAAAATATATTAATATATATATAAAAACAGAAACAATATGATTTTTACGTGACATTTCCATCTTAAATTCCAAGTTAAATGTAAAATATACCGTAGAATAGAAGATATAGTATAGTGTCCCTGTTCTAAGTTTTTTTTTTTTTTTTTTTTTTTTATCTACAACTCTGTATCTAGCAAAAGAAATCACATTGACAAACAAAACTTTATGTACAACATTTTTGCGTTACGACCATCTAATTATTTCTCTATAGAATTACTTGGCATCGTTTACTATACGTCGCTGCGTTTTACATCTTCCTAAATTCGTAATATTTTCTTTCTCTTCATTCTCGGCCATTATGTGTTTCACCAGGCAGGAAATATTTTTGACCAAGCGAAATATTTCGTTCGCCCAGTAGTTCGAAGTGAAAATTATTTCATTCAAGACGGTCCTCTATAAATTCATTAAAAATAATGATTAATAAGTGAAAATAGTGCTCAAAATGATATTTTCATATTTTCATCTTTAAGTATTATAGACTTTCACTGAAATAATATACCTATTTACATTTACATCACTAACTATTAAAAATCACAACGTCGTCGATAAGTAAAAACAATTTAATTTGATTTTTATTTGACACTTGTCAGAATCACAAATATTAGTTGAAACTTTTTATAGAAGTCTATAATACTTAGTAGTATTGAATAGTATTAAATACTTTTTTATTAACATGATGCCCTTGAACCAACTCTGATTGCATTTGATCGACATGTCGTTCTACAATAAAAATTTTGCTGTATTTAAAATACGAATTGTTGATTAATTTCTCAATTAATATGTTAAGTATATCCTTTAGTGACGAATTTTCGAACCTTGGTCTTCCAAACTTTTTCTGTTAATTTTCACGATTTTCACCAATTCAACAACATACTTTGACAAGAGTTTAGCCATCTGCAGTTCAGTTTCGTAGCTGTTGTTTGAACCGTGGATATAACTCTTACACCTGTTCGCCGTAATTAATTTTTCGATTAAAAAGATGATTTCCAATTTTTGAGAATAATTTTCAAATTAAAATGTAGGAGATCCAAAACATAGATCTTGAACAGTATGTGATTACTGCTAAAATACATGAATTAATATATTTACTATTGTTTCTGGAATATTTCTACTTGTAATATTGTTAACATTATGTTAAAAAGAAATATAATTTGCTATTAATTGATATAAATCACACTTATGAGCATCTGTATACATATGTATTTAAAATTTAACAAAAATTGGCCAAAAATCCAATCGATAGGAAACAATCTTAAATATTCAAAAATCAATTGTTTTTCATCGTTTTTCGTTATTCTTGATTTCGTGTTCGTCTATTTATTAATTAATATTTACTCGATACCTAGCTATAGTTTTATCCAGCAATTGCAGCATCATCATCGGATTCACAAGCTCTACAGAAACTGAGATTTGCAATTTCATTCGAAGTTGTTCCATTCGTTGCCAATCGCTCGTCAATCGTTCGTGAATCTTCGTTAACATTTTGCACACGTTTAAGTCTTTGTAATTAATACCAATTCTTCTCGATTCTCGCATAGCTGTTTCATGCTTCGCGTCGTTAATCTCAACCTCTTCGTAAGAATCATCAGAATCCCGTTCCTCTATTCTCTCATTCTTAATCATCGACGATTGAATATCTTCGTTGCACAACAAATTTTTATTGCCACTAATAACTTTATTTTCCTTGCTCTCTCGTTTCTCGACAATTATCTTAATTTTGTTTTCTGTCGATAAATCTTCGTTCGCGTGTCTCTCCTCAGCATTTGATACTTTTCCTTGACGATGAACGTCTTCCAACGACGACGACAGGTTACTGCTCGAATCTTTAAGATCGTCAGATTCACTGTGCTGCGTCATTGTTTTCGATGTTTTCCTTTCATTCGGATTAACTGGATGTTGTTTAAAGAAATTGTCATCAATTACACGCGATTTACGCGGATCAATGTCCGAATTCATTTTCTGACATTTCGTTCCTGTACTCCGATTTCCTCCTTTAAACTTGAACGAGGTATTCCCTTCTGCTTTTGGTCTTGACGAACTGCTGCCAAATGCATTCGATTTACGCGAACCAGCGTTCAAATTACTTCTCAGACATTTCTTCACACTTTGACTGTTTTCTTGTTTAAACGTGGATGAAACGTTCTCTTCCACTTTATCCGTAAGCTTATGAAATTTCGAATAATCTGTATGTTCACTGGCATTCAGGTTGTCAATCTTCGCACATGATTTTTCTGCATTACTCGCACACAAAGTCTGTGACAAAGGTATCGATTCAATGTCGCGTCGAAGCATCTCTTCAGAAGCTCCTTCTTCAATTTTTATCGTTGCATTATTTGCTGAGTCGCTGAATTTTAAAGATTTCGAAGTCTTCTCATTGACAAATAAATCATGATTTTTTGCTACTCTTCTCAAAGAGCAGGGAATCGACAAAATATTTGCAGATTTCAGTTCGCTGGTTTGTTTTTTAATTGTTGGAACAACTTCCTTCTCTTTGTTCGTATCTTTCTTACGTTCTAAAGAACGTGTGTCTTCAGTAATATTGAGACCATCGTTTCTCACACACGATTCTTCTAATTTCACTTCTAATTTGATATTATTCTCGAAGGTAGACGGATCATCAGACTGTTTTATATTACATTTTCTTGTCTCGTCAGTCACTTCGGATTTATTGAAATCATTTTCTTCGCGTGTCTTCTCCGTGCAAGGTTTCCCCGTTGCCTCATAAATTGTAATCAAATTCACATCCTGTTTGGCTTCAGCTTTTTTCGACGTAGATATGACATTTTCGTCCAATTGATTTTGCTTGTTTATTTGCATCGTTCCATCGTTTGCAATTCTCGAGTTGATGATAGAATTTTCTTGATCTTGGATTAATTTGACAACAGTAGTTTCTGATATATTATTCTTGAGAATTTTTTCTGTTTTTTGAAAATCTTCATTTATTTCGTCATTCTCTTCTCTACGCTTCTTCTGTGAATCTTCATTGTTCTGCGCGTGTCTTTTCACATGAAAATCTTTATTAATCAGACTGTTATTCAGAGCGCATTCTTCCTCAACAGTTTCATTACGATTTTGACAATTTTCTTTTCTACATTCTTTCTGCAAATCATCACTCTGATCAATTTCCTTCGTATATATTTTTCGACAAATCTCGTCGACTTTGTCAGAGTCTTTTACTCCTCCGTCCTTACCATTATCCACACACGTTTCTTCTTTCGACACTGAAAGCTGATTCTTTTCGATTTTGAACTGTTTGTCACCCTCCTTTGGAAAAGTTCTCATCGAACACGTTTGTCGACTTACGTCAAAGGCCAAATTATTCAAATTATTTTCACTGTTCTTCCCTTTATTCTTATTCGAATAAATCTCGACTAATTCGAAGGGACAACTGAACAGAGCATCACCAATCGATCTATCCTCCATTTTTCTTACCCTGGTCGAAGAAATTTCGTTTTCTCCCCTTACTGTGGAGTTCGCACAATTTTCATGCATCGTTGAACGAAGAATATCCAATTCATCCACTTTGAGAGACTGATCATTTTTAGTTAAAATAAACGTCCTGTCAGAAGCAGGCGTTCTGTCTGTTTCTGAAGAATCGACGGATTCAGAAAATTTGTTCCTTTCAAATCGCGCGTTTCTTAAAGTTGTCCTCGAGCGTATCTTGAACACAGTGGTACTCGATGAAATGTTTCTTCCCTTCGGAGATGAAATGTTCTTCGACGTCACTTGAAAATGTATCTCGCGTGCTTCGTTGTCAAATCTGTCTGCAGAGGAATTATTTTCATCCTTTGAGATTTTGTAATTCTTCGGTGAAAATTTATCGTCACCGTGAAATTCTTCGTTCAGGTGAGCCTGTCTTATCATTAGTTCGTTTATCTTCAGAATTTCTTGCAGCACGTGTGCTTCGTAGGACAGCGTTTCCCTTTGCGTGGAATTGTCGTTTGGCATTGTGCAGGGTCCATACGAGATTTATTAAAATATTGACGAAGAAAAATTAGATACCTTTCGTCTCGGGGCGATCATAATTTCAAGGTTAGGATTAATGTAAATTTTGTGTAGTTCTAAGTATTAGTTGAATTTCAAATTGGATGACATTTGCAAAATGTGAATTTAGCGTTTCATTGTAGCCACCTAATCGTTGTATCGCGAAGTTTACTAAACTTCGTTGCTAAGAGACGACATTCGTTTTACAAGTTAAATTATGTAATATCTGAATTTATAATATTATAATATTTCATTATGTATACATTCTCATAATAACATGTTCATTTTCGTTTAATATTGAATACGTACATATATCTATATTAAGACAAATAGTATAGAATAAAATAGAATTAAAATTACATCAGAAAGTGAAATATATAATGTAATAAAATACTTTTTAAATCATAACAAATTAAATATATGTATCTCGATATAATAGTGTTACGTTCTTTAAGCAAAAAGATGCTTATACATTTAACGTAATGAACCACAACAGCGCGATAAAACATATTTTGATAATCAATTATCGGTATGGCGCGGTAAAAGAAAAATCAAAGTCACGTAGTTTTACTGTTAATCTCGGGAAATACACGCATTATCGCAAACGCCGGATGTCACGTAGAAAAAATGTCGCATTATCTTTAATTAAGTGAGCATACAATAAAAGAAACACCAAGATTAAAAGTAATAAAAAACATTACGATTTCTTTTTTCCGAGGGAAATATTTTTAGAATTATTTCTAATTATTTAGAATTATTTATTTGGGCATTTTCACTTGCAAATGTGTCTTTGTACATGTAAAATGATTTGGTGTAAATTCTGTATCCATAAAAAAATATTATATATACTTTTACGAATATAATATTATTAATATAATATATATAAATAAATTAATAATAGTATTATAATTTTATTAATATGTATAAAATTATGTGACTTTTGTGGTAATTTAGGAATCAGCTACAGTTGCATCGATACGAAGATAATTTTATTTTGTTTTTCGTACGTGTCACTTTTAGTTGAATATATTTTATCAAAGGTTAAGAGCACAAAGGCAATTAAATAAGAGACTATATTTTAAAATATAACTGAATAGGAGCAGATATTTCTCGAACTGGCGAATATTTTCGAAGGGTTTCCAAGTTGCTCCAGATTGCATTGCACTCCAACGTTTCTGCAATTCCATCCTGAAACCGATGGGGATTATAATCGCGAAACTAAGCGGATCAATGGACTGTCCGTGTTCGTTAACGACATAGACCAAGGAACAGAATATAAAGAGATTCCGCAGAAAATTGATAAAGCTAGGTATACAAAGTACTTTCTGTAAACAAAATTATTATCATATATATTACACTTGTCCTGATATGAAATTCCATATAATTGGATTTGGACGTGATAAAATATTGTATAGTCATTGTTATGAATAAAATAAAATATAATATCATAAATAAAGTATAGTCATGTTATAAATAAAATATAGTATAGTCACAAATTGAATTAAATTGTTCACTTAAGATTAAAATTAACTGATCATGAATATTGAATGTTACGTGAATCCCTCTATCGATTTAAAAGAACTTTTTATCTATAGCTTGATGACGAAACAAGCTGAAGATAATTAAACTGCTTAAAAGAACGAAGATCATTGGGAAAATACTGAAAATAAGTAGATAAGATGAAAATAATCGTTACAATTAAATTTTAAATTACATTTGTATGTCATATAAATTGTAAATGATAGGAACGTAAACTGATATAATGCAGAAGAATAAATCATATTATATAAATATTTGGAAAATAGTGGAAATAATTCTAAATAAACTGACACGTTCCAGCGATTGTAAAAGTTGGTGCAAGTCGATTTGGAGTTCGACCAAGAGGAAACGCGTTCGTACAGGGCCGATCTTCTGCAAGAAAGGGAAAAAAGTCGTGTTTAATTTTCAACACTTTGTGAAACCAGAGAGAATCGTCGAGGAATACACTCGCGTCAATATCTACAACAAGTAACGTTCACTCTTCCAGACAAATGTAAAGGGAAGTCAGTAAACAAATATTCCTTCCACGGATAAGTGATTAATTTAAGCTGTTCTTTACGATCAATGCTGATCAAGCGAATGCATTGAGCGAAAGAAACGATCTATGACGTTTCGTTAGTACGAGGGCAAATGGAAGTTTTGAAAAGACGATGGGTTTTCTCGACGAGAAGGCTGACTTCTGGAATTTCGCAGGCCGCGTCTGGTTAAAATTAACAAGAAAGAATCGCCGAAGGCTGCGTCGTGCGTTCACGAGAGGCAAGCTTCTTCGGAGGTGAATGCTCGCCGGTGCAAATCGAAATGTGAAAGAACACAGGTGAATGCCGATGCTGCGATCGAAGGAAAGATAACTGGATGGAGGTTAAAGAAAGTTAGATTATGCCACATTGAGATCGATATTCAATACACAGTGATGAAACACAAGTATCAACACAGTCCAGCTAATGGTTTGATGCTTCAACCTTAAATTTGTAAAAAATAGAATTTTCCCAAGTTTTTATACTAAGTGTAAAAAAAAAAATAAGAATTGAAAACAGATTTGGTTTTAGACAACTATTGGATTTCGATATTTGTTTAATCAATCTTGTTTGTAAAATCAAGAAACGATATGATTCCTTGTACCGTTCCTTGATTTTATATAAATTCCAGAAAGATTGATAATATTTGTATTAGCCCTTTCAATAATAAAAATTTTACATTTCAGTGAAATAATTTGTTACATGCTTCTTGTTATTTATTTTTCTTGTATAGTTATTTAATGATAGTGAATTGCAAACTTTACTAATTTAAACTTTGAATTTTATAAGTAAATCTAGTTTATATCAATATTTTCATTCATCACTATGTATAATTGTCCTCGAATAAATTTATGCATCGATTTTGTCTGTGCACTGAATAAATATTTGATTTATTTATTTAAAATTGTTGATATCCACAGTCCGTAGAAACTGTGGCGAAGAAAACAAGAAGAGTTCGAAAAAGGATTACAGCTACGCATAATTTTGTATACGAGTTTAATCCATTCGGAAATTCAACAACGATTCCTGGTAATGCAACGAAAACGAAAGAAATTCAAAGTCTATCAAATATTGGATCAGAAGGTATATAACTCTGCAAGAAAACAGCAGTCTCGATTATTTACATAGAATATTCGAAAAATGATTATTCAAATAATTTAATTCATAATAGTTTGTATTAATAAACCATTATCTTTTTTTATATAAATGATCGAAAGACAAATTCTATTAAAATTTTCACTATTTTATAAAGAAACAATCAGTAACTGTGAATTTGTAAAACGTAAGAAAGTGACAGTACTAAATATATATAAATAAATATAAACGAGCACACAGATTTAAACTTATTGATACAAAATAATATTATATTTTTCGATTATCACTAACCATTAAGAATCTCGTGACACTGCAATAATGTCACCGATCGTTATAATGTTATATGTTATTACAAAATTATTAATTTTTTACGATTCTAAAGAGGGAATATTTTGCAAATTTTAAATAAAATCCTGTAGAGTTGTACAATTTTGTTCCCCTTTTCTTTCTGAATTGAAGATCTATCTTTTCTTATTGCGTTTCCAGAATCATTTTGCAAATCTACGAATAGCAAGCAAAATTCCAATAATGCTCGGCTACATGTCACATCAGTATTACCAAAATTGAATCCACATAGCGATTCTTTAGTAGGAAATTCAGAAAGGCACGAAAATGTGACCAATCGTAAAAAGAATGCCAGCTTGCCTACGATAAAGAAACAAGAAACGGTTGTTAAACCTCAACAACGACTGGTTAAACCTCGTGCTGAAAGACGTAAGATTTTTATGCAATGATGTTTTCTCAATGAATAATAAAAAATAAAAGAAAAAATCGAACTGAATGAAACTTCTCTTGTTTTCAATAAAACAATATATCTTCAAAACAATTGTCAAATCGTCAATTTTCCAGGGAAACTTATTAGCGAAATTGATCGAGAGGTGGAGAGAGTAAAATCGGATTGGCGCACATTACGTTCAAGTACCGGATGGACGCAAAGTAAAAATTTTGCGAATGCCCGAACGAGGAAATTGTATGACTCATTGGAGAAAATGACGCAGGAGATAGATAGAATGCAAAAGTCCTACATGGATCCGAAATCAAATCGATATTTGCACCGAGGTGCGATGAAAGCATTGGATCCAGCAGATTTATCATTCAAAGAAAAGGCATCGAAAATTAAAAGTATGCTGTTTCCTAAGGATAATAAAAAAATTGCTGACGGAACGTTGAATGAACTATCAAACATGCTGGAAACTAATTTATCAGACGTAACTCCATCGAAACATATGCCTAATAAAAAAATTGAAAAGAAGTCGCTTCTTCCCAATATGCAATCTCAAAATGGCAAGAATAATTCGCCATCGAATGTTCATAAGCAAAATACAAGTGCAAATAATCGGAAAAATTTGAAGAAGATTAATTCTGACATTGAACGGTACTTGCATAATTATATTAACGAGGCAGAGAAGAATTTTGTTAACAAAGAGGAATCAAAAATTAATGATTTGGAAATTCACTCGGAGGATGTGTCAGACATGCTGAAAAAGTTGAATTTAAATTCTTTTGACATATATGATATTGCTCGTGATTTTGAAGAAAATCCTTCATTACAAAGTGTAGGAAGAACAAGAAGTTCTGCACAAATATCTATGGGCCTAAAAACAACAAAAGAAGAAAATATTGCAAAAATTTTATCACAGATGCAAAGTTCTATGCAAACAAGTATGGACTCTAAAGTTGAAAGTGCAAAAATAAAGGAAGAAGAAACTGCAAAAATTGTATCATCAAAGGAAGATGATCATTCAACGGAATACAATATGTTAAATTACGATACATCGATTCAAACGAATACTAAAAATATACATCAAAATAATGCTTTCATAGAAATGGGTTTTCACGCGTTGAATAATAGTTATCCACAAAATGCATTGATGCGTGTTCTTCAGTCAGAATATCTAAAAAAGGATACAACCTTAAAGCCTATGTAAAACTTTAGATATTAAAACATTAGCAAAAACATGTCTTGAAATTGTGTTCACATTTGTGTTTAAATATTATATGTAATAAATAATACTATAATCACATAATAAAAATTAAATAGTGCAAAACAAAAAGACGTAGGAATAATATCTAAAAGATATTTTAAACGATATAGAAAACATACTTTTTAATGTAACACATTACATTAAAGTTATGATAATTTTAATATTTATCTACATTAAAGGTGCTTCAAATGTATATAAATTGAAATATGTGAAAATTAAATTTCTTTCTTTTTCTTTTATGTACAGTCTTATGTTTTACATAATATACATTTATCATCTATATTAAAAAATGAGAATTCTCATTTATTTATATGTTAAAATATATATCACAAGATATTCTTAACTATTATACTTAAAACATATACAAATGAAAAAGAATAATTAATTAGGCTAATATATCTTACAAATATATCGGTAAGAAATGTCTTTCAACCAATTCCACCGTGTGCACAAAATTATGGCACTATTCTAACATATGATCTGCGTTACGTTGACGTAAACTGCAAAACTGAACGTAAAAAATATATGAAATTCTTATATAGCATACATGTCCAGTATTTTGATATGTCTTCAACTAACCGATGTGTGATGTATAAATACGCCATACTGGTGCCTTATAAATTCATAAAATTTTCATTAAAAGTCGTATTCGGCGACTGAAAAAGGTACGTTCGTACAAGTTTTTGTCGATCACGTTTCTTCGTTGATTGCGATAGTAAATATTTATAAGCTTGATTTTACTCAGCACATATCACAATACTGGAAGCGCTGAACTGTGACTTTGGTATATAATGGCCCCTGTAAAATTAATTGCTGCAGCTAGCACAAAAACTGGCAACCAACGACCGTGTGACGCGGTCACTAATTCAGCTGTTAATGGGCCACATAGAATACCCGGTATCGTTGCCTAAAATATACGTTTAAATTATTAATTTGTTAATATTTATCATGCTAAAAAAAAATACGAACGTACTATAGTATTAGAAACCGCAAACGTGATTCCCGCATGATTTGGTGCTATATCTGCGTGGTTACTGAGATGGCCCGCAGAATTACATGCGCAGAGTCCCATAGATATTGACACAAAACTGCAATAAAAGAAAATCACAAATTACATACTAGAATTAAGATAAAAATTGTTGTGATTAATTTAACTTTAATACAAACATTACTGCAGCAAGTAAATTGTCCACAGCACAGAATGCTAATAGAAACGCACCAGGACCAATTAAACCTATATTTGTCATTAATCTTCTTACAGATAGAATCGGCCATCTCTTTTGTATAAGATTGTCAGCACTGTGACCAGCCACTACAGACATATTCAATTATTAATTTTTCATGATTTTTTTATTAGATATTATATGATACATACCAATACCAACAAGAGAATTCACGATGTATGGAAATGCTGTTAAACTAATGCTTTCTTTGTTAGCAGAAAGATTTCTAGCAAGGTAAGTTGGTAACCATTGCATTATTATATAATTACTCCAATTCATCGCAAAATGAGCTATATACAATGCCCACAAAGGCCAATGTGAAATGAATTCAGTCCAACGCAAACTCCTATTCTGCGTTACCTTAAAATTAGGAAATATCAATTAATACCTAAACAATGCATTTATACCGAGATAACAATTAAACAATTTAAACAAATTGACTACCTTAGGTACAAATAATGGGATTTCATCTTGGGAATTAGTTTCATGGTACAGTATTAGCCACAAAAGTGTCCATACAATACCAATTGTACCAAATAAATAAAATCCTGTTTGCCATGACAAATGAGGACACAACTGTAAGTATTTTGAATAATTTTATATTTTTAAATAAAATAATTATCAATAAACAAATATTTCTAAACGACCGGCTTTCCTTTATACGACATTTACACTTACAACAGAGGCAACAACTTGTCCAACAGAGCCAGCGGCTACAAGATATCCAAATGCTCTAGATCGTTCCTCTACAGGAACACTGTGTGCAAACAGGTGAAAAATAACTGGTAGACCTAACATCGAGAGACAATGATAAATATTATATTGTACTTTACAGAATTGTTTATTTGTTTCACAAAATCTTACCCAAGCCTTCTCCAAGTCCCAAAATCACCCTACAAATAATGAGTAACAGAACTGATTGAGCCAAAATTGGAGTTATAATCGTGCTAACAGACCATAGTAAAACAGCCAACATTAATACCATTTTACACCCGAAACGACTCGCTGTATTTGCACCAATAATCTAATGTAAAAATTAATTAAATAAATAACAACAAGAGTGTGAAAAATTCCTTACATTAAAGTAAACAAAAAATGGTTTTTGATATTGAACAGTCTAATATATAGAGATATATACACACACATATATACCTGACTAGTAAAATAACCAAAGGCAAAGGCAGAAAGTATCCAGCCCTGCCAATACAGATCCCATTTAAATTCATCGGTCATAGGAACGATCGCTATGGGCATTATAACTCGATCCGCCGCGTTTATGAAATTCGCGGCGGAACATAATGCCACGATTCGCGAAGTACGCGGAAGCATACGAAATTTCGGCATATCTGTTTGATTTTTCAAGTCAGTTGCATCGCATAACCAGCCCGAAGAGTTTCTAACCTCGATCGGCACGTTGACTAAAAAATTTATTGAAATATTCTATCACTCGATGTTGCATTACTGCTGGCGGAAAGCATCGTTATCGCGTCGAGAATTTGTACCCGGTTAAGAAATTTGGTACAGTTAATAAATCTAACGAAATAAGAACGTAAAAAATACTCGCATTGCAACGCTTGAAATCTACAAAACTTGACGTGTCAAATATTGCAATTGTGCAACGTGCACAATGTTGATTG